GTGAAAGTGAATAAATAAACAGCAGCGTCGGCGAGACATTGAGCAGAGATTCAGGACCTCGTCCAATCAAACGCCTGAGCAAACCCACGCCTGCGTTTATTCATTGATGTCATTAAAACCAGCTCGTTAACACTGGAAATATGCACACACGGACCATACACGACCTTACAAAGAGCACTTCTTCATCAGAAACACACCAATCTGAATATTTACTCTTTTGAGAGCCAGTTTATAACTACAAAAAACACTAGAAAACACAGTTCAAAAACATTTAGTACCTTAACTTTTGCATTTTCTTAAGGAAACATGCGTGCATGTGCAAAACATTCATTTTCAATAGTTCATGTGAAATTCATGTTCTGACGACTACATAAAAAGATATGAGACATCAGAAACGGTTTATGTATAAATGTGTGTGTGTGTGTGTGTAGGACGAGCATTATATCTTCTTTTCTTCATGTATTCTCTTTCTGTTCTTTATTCTCTCCAGCTGTTTGAAGCTTTATGGATTGGTTCAAGTCTTAAAAAAGCCTTAAATATGGAACATATTACCAGCAGCTTTCTTTTGAAGTCTTGTCCTCCCCCTCTCTCTGTTATTTCCTGTATTTAGTTCAGTGCTGCTTATAACTTACAGTCAGAGGAGAGCCAACATCGCTACCCATAATTCTTTGCTCCAGCCTGACTTAGTAACACTTAGACATTACAGGACCGCATCAGTGACGTCATGCGCACCGCATTAAGCATGACGATTTTTATCACAAGTACAATAGTCTTAAACCTTTGACCAGTAGGTGGCAGTGTTATTTTAGTATCCGATAAAATATTACAGTTTTTGTTAGTATTTTAATTCAGATTTGACATTTTCTGTTTTTACTATAATTTTAAAGTTGTAGTAATTTTTTTTTTTTTTTAATTTTTATATATATTTTTTAATTTTAGTCTATACAGTTTTTTATAATTTTTATTTAACTGAAAAAGAAAAATGTTGCCTTAGCAACTAGCTGAATTTCTTTTGTTTTTTTTTACCATAACATAATTTCAATGTTTTTACTGTTAAACAAGCATAAAATTAGCAAATGATTGTGATTAATTAAGGTTTGCATAACATTTTATAAAAAGGTGTTCGTTACAGAGTTATTTTCGTATCACTGATATTCTATTATAGTTTTTGTTAATATTTTAATTAGATTTTATTTATTTATTTTCACTTTAATTTTAGTTAAAGTTTTAATAATTTTGTTGTGTGTTTTTGTCATTTTTAAAAATGTCTACAGAGTTTTTAGTAACTTTTATTTATTTATTTTTATTATTTATTAAACCAAATAACATGATGCCTTGGCAACTAGCTGAAATAAAATTAATTTTCTTTATATATTATTTTAAGTAACTCTTCTATGGTTTTAGTTTTAATTTAGTTAACTATAATATCTCTGGTAGGTGGATCCAAACAGGCTGATGACCGCATAAGAAGAGACACAGAGAGATGTCTCACAGCATCTTTCCACAGGAAGTGGCTCCAGACAGCGAGAGGTCAGAGGTCAGCGGTTCTTACCATGAGCGAGTGTCTGTTGGAGGGCAGCAGTCCGCCGCTGTATCCGGCGCTCAGGCCGCCCATGGCTCCGTTGTGAGAGTGAGACGGAGTGACCAGTTCATGCATGTCTGCGTGAGTGCCGGGCATCGCTGTGGACGGACCGACCGCATGACTGCGCAACACGTGGATCGCATCGTCCAGACGCTCCAGCCTGTCCTCGATACGACTCTGCTGCAGGACGAGACACACAATATATATATATATGTATATGTCTTCTGTCTCTGATTGATAGAGTGTTTTATCCAGTCAAAGCTCTTTTAGTGTAATTGTACAAGCGTCCAGCTTCAGCTGGAGCTTCTCGTGTCAAATCTTGACTGATTTTTATCAAGTAAGCGTCAGAATAACTGCAGTAATATCTCCAATATACATACACATATATATAAATATTTTATATTTATAAATTTTATAAATATTAAAAAAATATTTTACAAATATTCTATAATATTTATAAATGTTATAAATATTTTAAAAATATTTTAAAATATTAACATTTTTGTCCAAAGTTTCAATAAACTGTTCTATTTAAAAGATTTAATAGATTTTTATGACTGTATGTCAGGCTTTAAAGGGTTAAAACTGTTAAATAAAATGAAAAAATCTAAATCAAAATCAACTTCTCTGCATTTTCATTAACTTAGATCTTAAATCTAAGTGAAGCATAAAATGTTTTTTTGTTTTTGTAAGCATATTTTACAAAAAAAATTACCCATGGTAACTGTTAAAAAGCATAATTATCAAGACAAACGATAACAAATGAATATGTTTAAGAAGCTTCAGAGTCTTTCTGTCATTTTGTTTTGATTAAACTGATGCTAATTTTCCTTCTACAGTGTTAACATGATAAACGCCACATAACTTTGGTATTTTGGCAGTCATCATGGTGAATGTGAAGCCAGAACTGACAGGAGCAGAGTTAGATCTGGGTGTATTTCTGTGTCTGTATCTCTCACCAGCGAGTGCAGTGGCGGCTCGTAACTCGGGGACGAGGCTCCCTGACCGTTTCTGGACCAGACGGCTGTACTGGCAGCTAAAGAGACCAAACCAAATACATCCTGGTTAACAAAACAAGCGCTCAGATAGAACATCACTGATATACTACATTGTAAAAAATGACCGTGAATTTAACGGTAAAAGACTGTAAAAATGCTACAGTAAAAACCTGTTAAATGGTTAACGGTAAATTCCCCTATTATATACGGTGAAAAACTGTATTGGACATTACATGTATTGGACATTAATTTTACGGTAGTACACCGTTTTTTGGAAGTGAAAAAGACTATAATTTACAGTGAATAACCGTAAATCGACGTTCCCAGAATTCCCTGCATTACATTTCAAATTTGATGTTTTTTTGTTGAAATAACTATGTTTCTTCTTATCAGTTTTGTATATTAGGGTTGTGTGTTACACCTAATGTTGTTAAATGAATGTTTATTGCATTATTTCAGTTTCATGTGTGTTACCGGCAACCACAGCTGCTGTTTTTTTACCGTAAATTTTACGGAATTATTTTTTCAGTGTATTATAGCTTTTGTTAAAGGCACAATACGTAAGATTTTTTTATTAAAATTCAGCTCGTTCAGCGCCTCGTTTCGCTTCGACGGCTTTCAGCCTCACCCTGCTTCATTCTACCACGTTAATAAATCATTAGCTTATCTATGACGTCATCAAACTACGCCTTTGTCTATTTGTTTATTTTGAATACGCGTCTTCTAGTGGCAAAAAATTACATATTGTGCCTTTAATATTTTGAATTGGGTTTATTTTTATATTTTGCGTTTTCACTTTATTTTTAGTTACAGCTTTAATCATTTTGTTGTGTTTTTGTTTTATTCCCAGGCAACTTCTTATTTTATTTCAATTAACATTTTTGATGGTTTTAGTTTTAGTTAACTATAATATAATTTCAGTGTTTTTACTATTCAGCATGTGTAAAATTAGCAAATGACTGTGATTAATTAAGGTTTATTTAACAGTTTATAATAGGTCTTGGTTACAGTGTTATTTCAGTATCATTGAGACTTATTATAGGGTTATTATAGTTAACTAAAACTAGAATTGAACATTTACATTATACAATTTTGTTGCTTGAAATAAAATAAACATTAACTGAAATAAAAAAAATATTAAAAACGTTTTATTTCAGCTACTGTAGTTGTTTTGTTTCACTTAATGTACTAAGATAACTAAAACTAAAACAAAATAAAACTAAATAACTAAAACGAAAACTATATATATATATATATATATATATATAAACACAACAAAATTATTAAAACTTTAAAATGACTGAAAATGGAAAATAAAAAAATAAAAACTGATTCAAAATATTATTTAAAGCTATAATAGTATCTAAAATAACACTGCATTGTGCTACTATTATAGTTGTTGTTAATATTTTGAATAAGATTTTATTTTTAGATTTTCTGTTTTCACTTTAATTTGAAAATTGTCATTTTTATTAGTTTTTTTTTTTGGATAAGTGTGTATAGTTTAATTTTAATTTTATTTTTTCAGTTTTATTTAAACTAACTGAAAATGAGAAATGTTGCCTTGGCAACTAGCTGAAATAAAATAAGGTTTAATTTTTTATATTCTATTTTATTTCAGTTTTATTTTATTTCACCTCAAGCCTCATTAACATAATGGTTTTGCTTTTGTTTTTCAAGAGTCTGATCATGTTAACTCCTTATTTATGCACTCAAGTCTTTGATGTGAGATCCTTGCTTTAGGCCTAATGCTAAAACATTCCCCTCGTATCCTATAAATCCGTATTTTCCCGTTGATCCGACACTCAAACCGACCCAATTAGCCGTCATTCACTCCAGGGGAATAAATAACCCCGTCTTGTCTTTGTAGTCCAGTTTTCTTGATGTAGAGCGGTGGAGATCATCAGCTGGTGACCCTTCCTTTGATAGGTGATGACCCTCTTGCTAATAACACCTCGTTATTCTTTCACACCGGTAATTAGAGAGGCGCGACGCTCGTTTTGACCTTCACCAGTTTGCGTTTGCGCCATCCGCTCATTACGCACGTCGCGTCTAATTATGTTGTGTTTTTTCAAATCGTACTTCTTTACAGAAACACGCATTTCAGACGCGTCCCTGTATTATTAAACCTAATTTCCCAATGCTAATTAGCACATAATTACAGCCACATTCATGTGCGAATAAATTTTGCATGCATCCGCGCCGCCCCCAATGAGAAAATTATTAAATCAGTTACTTAAACTTCCCTCGCATGTTTAAGTTTAAATATTAATTTGCAGTTGCGCATTTAATGGTTGTCGGTCTAATAACTCTGGCACTCGGAAAAATAACAATTAGGCGGCGGTTGTTTCCATGGCGACGCAAATAATGGCTCGTTAATCAGGCCTTGAGATGAAGTGCGTTTCAGAGTTTGAACCGAATATGAAGAATGAAATGTATAAAAATAATATTTCAACTTGAAATCAATGGCTTCTACCGAACAGTGCACAGAATATATAATCAGCAACGTGATTTATATGCATAAAATCAGCTATTTTAACATCATTGACATACTGTCTTTATTAATATTTTTCTATTTTCATTTTCACTTCAGTTAAAGTTTTATAAATTTTGTTTTGTTTTTGTAATTTTTATTAGTTTTTTTTATGGCTACATAGTTTTTATTAATTTTATTATTTATTTATTATTTATTATTATTTAAGTTAAGCTAAATAAAAATGAAAAAAGGTTGCCTTGGCAACTAGCTAAAATAAAATATATTTTTTTATTTTACATTTTTTAAATATTTTATATTATTTAAGTTAACATTTATTTTATTTAAAGTAACAAAAGTGTATTTTTTATGGCTTTAGTTTTAGTTTACTATAATAACTCTACATAAAATATCCAAATGACCTAAATAAAATACTATATTTTGCTAAAATGTGCAGAATACAACCAAAACACACGTTAGCCCACAATGCACTGCACTTGATTTGGACTTTCATTTCCAGTGTGACACATTTATCGGACTGACGAAAGCTGTTTGTTTGTTTGCTTGTTTATTTATTTATTTAAAAATTATTTTTATTTCCAAGATAACTGTTATTAAGCATGAGGTCATGTGACAACCAGCATTATTTCAGCATCATTATGATAGTATTATAGTTTTTTTTAATTAGTTTTCGATTTTATATTTTCTTTCTTTATGTTTTCTTTTTAATTTTAGTTAATTAAAAAAATAATTTTACATTTTTTTAAATCTTTTTAAAATTTTACAGTTTTTACATTTTATTAAAATTATTTCAGTTTAATAAATTTATTTCAGTACAAGAAATATTTCCTTGGCAACTAGCTGAAATAAAATATAAATAAAGTAAAATAAATATTTTATTTCAGACTTGACCTTTCATTTCCAGCATGTACTTATCAGACTGAAAAAGTATTAATTTTTCAGTATTTCCAAGATAACTGGAATTAAGCATGAAATCATTGTTATCTTAGTGTCATTACAATAGTATTTTAGATTTTATTATTATATTATATATTATTATATTAGTTTTCGTTTGAATTAGTTTGCTTTTTTATTATCTAATTTCATTGTATTTTTTTTGTTAAAATTAAAGTAATTTTGTTGTGTTTTTGACCTTTTTTATTAATTTTTATTTGAGTTGTAGTTTTAGTTATTTAAACTAGCTGAAATAAAATACTTAAAAAAATATTTTATATTATTTTAAGTAACAAAAATGCTTTTTAAAGGTTTTAATTTTAGTTTAATAAACCTGGTGGCATATACTCTTTGTAAATAACATTGCAGTAAGCAGAGTAATCAGGTGACTGACATCAGGGCAAACAGCTGTGTGTGTATAAAACTCTGTTGGGAATAAACACACACACACACAAACACACACACGCGTGTTACCTGTGAGCGAGGGAGGAGATCCCACAGGAGTGGACGGGTTGGATGAGAAGCTGTTATTGGTGTGATCGGGGGAATAGATCTACAAGCACAACAAACACACACACACATCATCATCATCATCATCATCCCTACAGGAATCACTGCGCATAAATCCACATTCATCTCAATGATTTTGCTGGCTAAGATGATTTTTGAAAGGCAACATGAAATCACATTCAGCTATTTACTTTTTAATAAATGGCTCTGGTCTTAATATGCACAATGAGTTTATATCTCACAATTCTGATTTTAATTTTAATCAAAATTTGAATTTATATCTCACAATTCTGATTTTAATTTCTTATCAAAATTTGAGTTTATATCTCACAATTCTGACTTTTTTCTCAAAATGTAAGTTTATATCATAATTCTGAGTTTTTTTCTCAAAATTTGAGTTTATATCTCATAATTCTGACTTTCTCGAAATTTGAGTTTATATCTCATAATTCTGACTTTTATTTTAATCAAAAATTGAGTTTATATCTCATAATTCTGACTTTCTCAAAATTTGAATTTATATTTCACAATTCTAACTTTCTCAAAATTTGAGTTTATATCTCATAATTCTGACTTTTTCTCAAAATTTGAGTTTGTATCTAATAATTCTGACTTTTATTTTAATCAAAATGTAAGTTTATAACAATTCTGACTTTTTTTCTTCAAAATTTGAGTTTATATCTCATAATTCTAACTTTCTCAAAATTGTAGTTCATATCTCATAATTTTGACTTCTATTTTAATCAAAATTTTAGTTTATATCTCATAATTCTGACTTTTATTTTAATCAAAATTTAAGTTTATAACAATTCTGACTTTTTTTTCTGCAAAATTTGAGTTTATATCTCATAACTATGACTTTCTCGAAATTGGAGTTTTTATCTCATAATTCTGACTTTTATTTTAATCAAAATTTGAGTTTATATCTCATAATTCTGACTTTCTCAAAATTTGAGTTTATATTTCACAATTCTAACTTTCTCAAAATTTGAGTTTATAACAATTCTGACTTTTATTTTAATCTAAATTTTAGTTTATATCTCATAATTCTGACTTTTATTTTAATCAAAATTTAAGTTTATAACAATTCTGACTTTTTTTTCTGCAAAATTTGAGTTTATATCTCATAACTATGACTTTCTCGAAATTGGAGTTTTTATCTCATAATTCTGACTTTTATTTTAATCAAAATTTAAGTTTATATCTCATAATTCTGACTTTTTCTCAAAATTTGAGTTTGTATCTAATAATTCTGACTTTTATTTTAATCAAAATTTGAGTTTATATAATAATTTTGACTTTTTTTCTCAAAATTTGAGTTTATATCTCATAATTCTGACTTTTATTTCAATAAAAATGTAAGTTTATAACAATTCTGACTTTTTTTTTCTTCAAAATTTGAGTTTATATCTCATAATTCTGACTTTCTTGAAATTTGAGTTTATATCTCATAATTCTGACTTTTATTTTAATCAAAATTTGAGTTTATATCTCATAATTCGGACTTTCTCAAAATTTGAGTTTATATTTCACAATGCTAACTTTCTCAAAATTTGAGTTTATAACAATTCTGACTTTTATTTTAATCTAAATTTTAGTTTATATCTCATAATTCTGACTTTTATTTTAATCACAATTTAAGTTTATAACAATTCTGACTTTTTTTTCTTCAAAATTTGAGTTTATATCTCATAATTCTGAGTTTTTTTCTCAAAATTTGAGTTTATATCTCATAATTCTAACTTTCTCAAAATTTTAGTTTATATCTCATAATTCTGACTTTCTTTCTCAAAATTTGAGTTTATATTTCACAATTCTAACTTTCTCAAAATTTGAGTTTATATCTCATAATTCTGACATTTATTTTAATCAAAATGTTAGTTTATATCTCATAATTCTGACTTTTATTTTAATTAAAATTTAAGTTTATAACAATTCTGACTTTTTTTTTCTTAAAAAATGTGTTTATATCTCATAATTCTGACTTTTATTTTAATCAAAATTTGAGTTTATATCTCATAATTCTTTTTTTTTCTTCAAAATTTGAGTTTATATCTCATAATTCTGACTTTCTCAAAATTTGAGTTTATAACAATTCTGACTTTTATTTTAATCAAAATTTGAGTTTATATCTCATAATTCTGACTTTCTCAAAATTTGAATTTATATTTCACAATTCTAACTTTCTCAAAATTCTCAAAATTTGAGTTTGTATCTAATAATTCTGACTTTTATTTGAATCAAAATTTAAGTTTATAACAATTCTGACTTTTTTCTTCAAAATTTGAGTTTATATCTCATAATTCTGAGTTTTTTTCTCAAAATTTGAGTTTATATCTTATAATTCTAACTTTCTCAAAATTTGAGTTTATATCTCATAATTCTGACTATTATTTTAATCAAAATTTTAGTTTATATCTCATAATTCTGAATTTTATTTTAATCAAAATTTAAGTTTATAACAATTCTGACTTTTTTTTCCCTAAAAATTTGAGTTTATATCTCATAACTGATTTGTTTTCTCAAAATTTGAGTTTATATCTCATAATTCTGACTTTCTCAAAATTTGAGTTCATATCTCATAATTCTGACTTTTTCTCAAAATTTGAGTTTGTATCTAATAATTCTGACTTTTATTTTAATCAAAATTTAAGTTTGTAACAATTCTGACTTTTTCTCCCTCAAAATGTAAGTTTATATCTCATAATTATTTTATTTTAATCAAAATTTGAGTTTATATAATAATTTTGACTTTTTTTCTCAAAATTTGAGTTTATATCTCACAATTCAGACTTTTTTCCCTCAAAATGTGAGTTTATATCTCATAATTCGAACTTTCTCAAAATTTGAGTTTATATCTCATAATTCTGACTTTTTCTCAAAATTTGAGTTTGTATCTAATAATTCTGACTTTTATTTTAATCCAAATTTGAGTTTATATCTCATAATTTTGACTTTTATTTTAATCAAAATTTAAGTTTATAACAATTCGGACTTTTTCTCCCTCAAAATGTAAGTTTATATCTCATAATTATTTAATTTTAATCAAAATTTGAGTTTATATAATAATTTTGACTTTTTTTCTCAAAATGTGAGTTTATATCTCACAATTCAGACTTTTTTCCCTCAAAATTTGAGTTTATATCTCACAATTCAGACTTTTTTTTTCTCAAAATTTGAGTTTATATCATAATTCTGACTTTTTTCTCTAAATTTGAGTATATATATCATAATTCTGACTTTTATTTTAATCACAATTTTAGTTCATATCTCACAATTCTGACTTTTTTCTCACAATTTTGATGGATCTTGGATGGAATAAAAAATGAAAAAGGTAATTGCAACTTTTTATCTGACAATTTTGGCTTTTCTTCTCAGAATTGCGTTTATATAATTCTGAGGTTATATTTTGCAATTCTAAGTTTATGTCTTGCAATTATGAGAAAAAAGTCAGAACTGTGAGAAAAAATGTCACAATTACATTTTAAATTTTTTTTTATAATGTGGCGGAAACAAGCTTCCATAACTTTTCTTTGCTTATCAGAGAAAAAATTCCTCACATAAAACTCAGAAAAGCATCATTAGAGGAGTTAAATGTGCCGTGAATGCGGTTTCATGTTGTTTTAGATCATTTGTGTATCTGTATATTGCTGTATCTGTCAGGGCCTGCATTAGACCTGGTGACTCACTGAAGCCAGAGCCTTTCCTAACGCGTCTCCCGTCTGTGAGCTGCTTACCGCTCTGCTTGACGCTCGATTCGCTGAAACACAACAGATTAGAGAGAGTTCAAACTCCTGTTCATTCAAATAAAATGTAGACTAAAGTGCTGACTTTAAATGAACACTTTAGACCAGTAGTTCTCAACCAGGAGGCCGGGACCCACCGAAGGAGCCATAAGATGGCTAACAATCAAAAATCATAATTCTTAATTAATTCCCTGTAATTTTATTATTTAATAACCAAGGCTCTCATGGTCTTGGAAAACCTGGATATATTTAAAAGTGAGATTTCTAGACCTGGAAAAATAATGGAAATTAATTAAATCTCAAAAACTCATGGAAATTTCTATAACGAATACACATTTCTCTAGTTATGTCAAGTTATTTTATTGAGTAGAAATTGCAGAGAAAATTGTCATTTGTCATTGTATTTTAAAAATATATTTTTTTTAAATATAACAATTTCATGTAAATTCATTATTGAACCCTGAAGAACAAGAGTTTACAAAATTTTATTATTTGGATTTTAATTTAATTTATTATTTTAATAATGTAATTTAATTTAATTTAATTTAATTTAATTTAATTTAATTTAATTTAATTTCGAGTTTTGGTAAATATAAAAAACCTAAATGGGTGAACAACAGCAAAAACAAACAATAAATAAAACCTAAAAGGTTGAGAACCACTGCTTTAGACAATTAATGTTTACTTATAATATTACTTAAACTAATTTTTTTTTTTAAATATTTCAATTTCATATTAATTAATTATTGAACCCTGTAGAGCAAGAGTTTACAAAATTTAATTCTGTGTTAATTTTAACTTATTATTTTAATATTTTAGTAAATTATATACTTTAATTTAATTTAATTTAATTTATTGAAATTCCAAGTTTTGGTAAATAAAAAATAAAAAAACCTAAATGAGTGAATAACACCAAAAACAAACAAACAAATGAATAAATAAATAAATAACACCTAAAAGGTTGAGAACCGCTGATTTGGAAAATTAATGTTTACTTAAACTTACTTAAACAAAAACATTTTGTCCATGTCATTGACAAAGCTGATTTTCGAACTGACAGATGGAGGAATGACCAGTGCTGCTCATCAGCCGATTAGAAAGAGCTAAACCTGATCTCCTGTAGCTCCCTTAGCTCCTTCTCATTTCCTATCCTAATATTCCACCTCTGCTTTCGTGAGAGAGCGACTGAATCGAAGTGAATCAAATCTTCCCTCAGCTTTGATTCAGCAGTGACTCACCCATGACGCTGTCTGTCCCGTTAGTGGTGGCGGAGCAGGACGCCGCGCTGTAGTGATTCGTCCCGCCGCTGCGATGGAAACTGGACATGGGAGGAAGACTGGGGTTGATCTCAGCTGACGAGTGTGACGGGTAACTCTGAAAAACACAGACAGAAAGAGTGTTAATGAACACATGAGACAGGGTCATTGCATTCAAACACAGATCGTATGATTTATTGTTCATATATGTTTATACACCTTGATATTGATCATCAAAATTATTAGAAATTCATCATACCCCCAAACAACTACTAAAATACAAGGTATTGACCATATAGGTATTACAATCAGGAAAGGTAGTAGAAAACAAAACTTAATTAAAGATGAAATATCCAAGATTGAATGAGGATTTATATTTTAGTCCCCCTATATATTTTTAGATTTGTTTTGTTTAATGCATTATTTGTATAATTGTTTCAATCTCTCCCGAACCAATCCAGAAGAAATGAATTAAAAAGGTATGATCATAAAAAAATAAACTGAAGTAAATAAAGAAATCAAGTAAATAAATAAACAAACTGTAAATAAATAGAACAAAACAATTAAGTTGTTCTAAAATTCTAATAATAGAATACAAAATAAATAAAAATAAGAATACGTCATATATTACATTATGAAGTATTTATATTTGTATTATATATA